AATGATTTATTTTTATTTCATGTGCATTGGTGTTTTGCATGCATGTATGTCTGTATGAGGGTGTTGGATCCCCTGGAAATGGAGTTGCAAACAACTATGAGCTGCCATATGGGTGCTGGAAAATGAACCCTGATCCTCTGGAAGAGCAACCAGTGCTTTTAACTGCTGAGCCATCTCTCCAGCCCTTAAAATCTATTTTTAATTGACACAGTAATTATAAGTGTATGTGCTATAGTGTCACGTGTTTACTACATGCAAAATATGCATTAAATAAGATCAGAGTAATATTCGTTGTCTCTTATTTCAGACATTTTCTTTGCATTGAGAATATTCAAAGCTTGTCTGTTAACTATTTTGAAGTGTCTGGCTAATTATTTCCAACCATAGTTTTCCTAGGTTACTGCAGAACATTAGTAACCAGGGCTTCATAGATGGCTCAGTAGCTAAACCATATGCTATGCAAGTATGAGAACCTAAGTTTTGATTCTCAGAACCTAAATAAATGCTGTGTGGGCACGGTGGCACACTCCTAATTCCAGAGTAGGAGACAGGCTCTCCGGGGCAAGCTGACTAACGGACTAGACATTATCAGTGAGGTCTAGGCTTGATTCAGAGATCTTGTCTCAAAGGATAAGATGAAAGGGAAATTGGGGATAATTGCCAATATCAGCAGTAGGCTTCCATGTGCACAGGCCTGCACTTGCACATTCACCCATACACATGACACAGAAAGACAGAAAAGGAATTCTTTGTCCTGCAGGTTTGGGTGGTACATTCCTGTAATCCCAGGACTCTGAAGGCTTTGGGCAGTAAATATGAGGCCAGCCTGGATTATGTAGTGAAACTCTGTCTCCAAACAAAAGGGAAAGAAAGTAAGTTACTTCTGTTCAACTACACCTTTGTGCCCATTAACCTTTTAGCTTCCACATAAGTAGCTGATATGTTTTACTTCACATAATTTCATCCAGTTCTATTCATGTTTCTGCAAAGTGGCAGAATTTTAATCTTTTTAAGGATAAATATTACATTGTATACATACACTACATTTTCTTTTTCTGTTCCACAATGGTCACCTACATACAAATAGTGCTATAATAAGTGGGCAAATACAGGTGTCTCTTCAGCATACTGATTTTACTTCCCTGGATGTATGCCCTAGCTCCTGTGTTAGCTGTCTGTCTGTTTGTTTTTGAGATTGTGTATCACAGGCTGGCCTAAAACTTGTTATGGAGCTGAGAATGAGCTTGAAATTCTAATCCTCTTGCTTCCACCTCCTAAGTTCTGAGATCGTTGGTGTACTGCCACACCCAGTTTATGTAGTGTTAAGGTTAAACCCAGGGCTAGGTGAGTACTCTGCTACATTAGCAACATCTCCATCATTGTCTAATTGGTTTTGAAACTTATTTGTGTGTGTGTGTGTGTGTGTGTGTGTGTGTGTGTGTGTGGACCTATGATTGTGTGCATGTGAGTGTAGGTGCCCAAGGAGACCAGAGGCATTAGATCCCCAGAAGCTGAAGTTACAGGTGATGTAAGCAGTCTGATGTGGATATCGATGCTGGGAACCGAACTCGGGACCTCTGGAAGAGCAGTAAGTGCTCTTAACTGCTGAACCACCTCTCCAAACTCAGCTCTTGTCTAGTTTTTGAAGAGGCTCAATTTAGGGGCTGGAAAGATGGCCCAGTGTATTGTGGAGGCAGAAGCTGGCTGGATCAGCCAGCTCGTAGTTCAGCTGAAAGATTCTGCCACAACAAAGTAGAGAATGATAGAGAAAGATATCCATGCACATGCATGCATACCAAGCACACACATCTACACAAAACCAAGAAGAGCTTCCATTTTGTGTTCCATAATGGCAGTGCTAGTTTACATTCCTGTTTGTAGGTCCTTTTTTCATATCCTCAGCAGCATTTGTTGGTTTTTGTCTTTCAAATAATAGCTATCCTGATAGGTGTGAGGTGATACTTCATTGTGGCTTTTATTTGTATTCTGGTGTTTAATGTGGTAGTTGGCCGATTATACATCCCCCTTTGAGAAATATCTGGATATGTATTCATTGCTACATCAGAATCTTTCATTTTTGCTGTTATTTGAGTTTTAGCCATTTGTTTATTTTGCATTTCACAAACATACTGAGGACAGAATGGCAATGTGGAAGATTCTGGAGAACCAGCTTGTCTTGTAGCTAGGGTGACCACATGTTCTTCTATCTGCTTTGCCTATGGTGACCATGATTCATGCCTGTTATCCTTATGCAATTATTAGTAGCATCATTTAGCACTTTACCATGTTGGAGGACAAACTGTCTTGCCACTCTTCCCATAATGCAGCTGATTCCTCTTGGTATGTTATTTGGCCTAAACATGACATCGTTGTAATTTGGCAACTGTAATGAGTGTTAAATTCTCTTCCATTTAAACAGGCTATTTCTTGACCAACAGAAGTTGATGGCAAAAGTAACTTCAATTAATATCTGTGACTTTTAGAATGTTTAAGTCATTATCTGCCTGGCAGATTTGGGTATATAGTGTGTGTGTGTGTGTGTGTGTGTGTGTGTGTGTGTGT